TACATATAAAACAATAGTAATCTTTAAAATGCATCAACTTTTTATACAGAAGGTTTTCAAAAAAAATATTTGGCATAATTATAGAACTAATATTCCTTTATAAAGTTACCAGTCAGTTTTTTAAAAAACCTCTTGTACAAAAAACTATAGTGATTTAAAAATTGAAACGTGTTGAGTATAGGCTTTTAGCACTATATATACGAATTTTATGGGGCTAGATGCTGAGAAAAGGGCCCAAATTAACAAAAAATTTTATATTATAAATTCCATAATAAATTATAAGAAAATACAAACTTTAAAGCAATACTGCAAAGTCTTACAAAGATAACAGCATTTGTTCCTTAAGTAAAAAAAATGTTCCTGAGCTAATTTTGGATTCGTTTAAAACAAGGTTTTTGAAAAATTTTTGACCCTTTTCTCAGCACCTAGTCCGTATATTGTCGGGATAGAGTTTGGAATCGGTTTATTTTCATATGTTAAAACTGGTTTTAATCGGTTTAACATATAAAAATAAACCGGTTCCAAGCTCTAGTCGGGATGCATTACCTCATGATCATCCAAATCTCAGCATCATCTCCGACATTTACAGTCGGTACTGTCTAATTGCATGCCTCCGTCAGAGAATTTTTTATGCATATAGACAGTATATGCATTTAAGTTGTAAGGACCAATTTTGTGTTAATAATTAAAAACCAACTTTTTTTTGCATTTAGAGAGTATATGCAATTAAACAGTATATATCGACATTATTATTCAGTTATTAAAGATTTATAAAATATCCTAATTAGGTTGCGTATACAAATTGATTTATTCCATAATTGAGTTGGTAATGTGACACGAAAGGAATGGCAAATAAGAAAAAGGAAAAGCAAAAAATTTCAATAAACAGCTTCGTACGTACGTACGTACGGACATGGGCTAAAAATCACAAGGCTATTAAAGTATATAAAAGGTTACTAACTCTATCAATAGCTTGTCTTCCTAACTTTGATTTTTAACCATCAGAGCTAAATCGTGCTTGCTCTCCAGACGATAATAGCAACGACCAATCTAAATTCTAAATAAGCATAAACTTCTTTATTAAAATGATTACATTTATTTCGATCATAATTGGGATTTTTTTGATCCAATTTCCCGTATACGCGACGAATTCTATCACTGTAAACTGTAGTATGCCAGTACCAAACTCTTGTAACTTTTATACAGATTGTTTAGAAAAGAAATTTCATTGTGGAAGTGGGGGATATCCATTAGGGTATGGGCTTAAGTATTGCGAAAAATTTTCCGATAACGCGTACATGTTCAGTTATTCTGGAAAAAATTGGTATGTACGAATGTTTTCATAAACACGTTTCCTACGATATAACGCTTATCGCAGTACCTTCTTGCCTTATTCAAACTGAATTGAATAATGACCACTATATATGAGGAGACAATAGACTTAACAATGAGGGGAAACAGGTGCCGAGTCTAGTAATTAATAATTTGTGGGGGGTAACATTCGGAAATTATTTTACTAGGTACTACAGTAAGCATTATACGATAAACTCAAGTCCCATTATAATCTTTGTAAATTCTGTCCTTTCTTGGCCAAGTGAATGGATCCCTAAGTGTAGCATTTCTTTAAGTGCACCTCTATGACATTGCACTGGGATGTTTTGGCTGCAATATCATTTTGAAACTAATGAACGAATTCACAAATATTATCTCTTCTTTTATAACAATTCAGGGTAGATGAAACAAAACTTTGTCTTCAGAAATCATTAGTCTTATCATATGAAAATGATTCGAGTACTTGTTCAGAAATAAGAGACAAGGCATTAGGATCTCACGCGAACTGTTATGTTGAGAGTGGTGTATGTGTACTTCCGCCCTCAGACTGGGTCTCTATATTCAAAACTATTGATTTCAGAGATTTGTTTGGAAATTTGCCGCCTGTTAAATTTTTTGATGTCAGTATTATAATCTTCCCGGAACGACATGGAATTCCAAAGAATGTCCCAGAACGTCCAGAAACATATTGGAATGCCACGAAATGACCAGTAATTACATATATAGTGTTGCCTGCGAAATTGATAATCTTCCAAAAATCTACTAAATATCAAACCTGATTTTAAAAGTCAAGTTTAAGACTGAAATTAAATCGTAAATAAATTCACTTAGTAATATTGACGGATGCAGTTTTTAACTTTTTAGAATATGATTTTAACTTCAAGATTTCTGGTGTCAAGATGAGTTTACTGAACGCTTTCAATAGGTAACCTTAATTACTCCTGAAAAAATTCAAATAAATTTTGAAAATAGAATTTCATAATTTATTTTGAATGCAAATTTAATTCCGAACGAGCTCTGCATAATTTCTGGTCATTTTGAGGCGATTTGATTCCATCACGTTTCTGGTCATTTCTTAGAATTCCGTATATTGCTGATTACTAAACATTATATAAGTTTACTAATATCTTTGTTGTTATACTGTATAGCAAGCATTAGAGACGGCAATTTCGTGTGGAGAGTTTTACGCTTTTCTGGCAAAATTACATGAAAATGAAAATGAACATGACCATAAAGAACTTTGAGAGATCATAAATTAAATTACATAGACAACAATATTACATATTATACAAGTTTTTTGTTATAATTTATACGAATTTATATACGAATTTATATAATATATTTATCAAGCTTTCAAATTTTCACAAGTGGATCTGTAATCAAATTACTGAATTATTACCAAATCGACTGGTTTTGATAAGAAAATCCGATCTCCCCAGTAACACACCTCATTAGACATATGAAATTATATGTAATTGACGCACCCTAACCTGGGGAAATTAGATTTCTTATTCAAATCAGCTGATATGCTGAACTGCTGAACTGTAGCCTATATTTTAAGCTTTACTATAATAGTATATAAAACAACGTAATAACGATAAATATAATTTAATAAGTAATCTAATTTGATAAAATTTTCATTTTGCTTTACAGTATCAAATTTGGTTAAATAGTTATCATGTATCTTTAAAATTTTTCAGGATTGCAAAAGATATAAATAAAAGATATAAAAAATAGTTTTATCTATAAGATCAAAAAAATATTAGATATTATAGAGGAATTAGGGACAACATAAAGCATAATTTTTATAATGTGAATATAAGAATTTTATTATAAAAAAAAACTTGATAAATACTTTAGGTATGCCAATAATGCACCATGCAACAAGTTATAAATTATATCTAGTTTTAAAATTCGATCGATTATACTCTGGTAATATTACCATTAGTAGTGGTAATTAACAGCAAGTCTCAAATTTGTGGATTGAACAATAATTTTTAACTTCTAAATACAGTATTAACTATTAGTGCTAAAATTTTCGAGATAGTTTTTTTAATTTGATAATCTCCTAAAGGTTTTAACTATTGCATCTTGACAATATCCAGATTTATACGAAACTATCTGACAAACTTGAGTTGTTGATTAATTATAAGTATAATATAGTAACCATCACGACTAGCTCGTACGTACCTGGTTATGCAACAATGATGCAACAAAAGTTTAAATTTAACTTCGAAGTCTAATAAAAATGACTTTTTTTTTAAGGCTCTTTATTATCATGATACCTCATGACAATAAAATCTCCAAGGTTATCATATTACTATACAAATAACTGCACTTTGATCGTTAGCGATCATATTCTCGTATATTATCTTTTTAGTAAAGACACTTATAAAATATTAATTGTAATTAAAAACAAAATGAATGCTTTGTGCTCGCGTCCAACTTGCAATAAAAGTGTCTATATTGAACCAAACGGTGTGGTTCACCCATATTGCGGAAGGACGTGCGCCTTTATTGATTTACGTAATATTTCCATGAGCATTGGAAAATGTGATAATCCAAATTGCAGTAAAAAAAAGTATCGTGACATAAATGGAAACATTTATGGTTATTGCTGTCGAACGTGCGCTCGTTCGTGTGTACGTGTCTGCGCTCGGTCCGGTTGCGGAAAAAAAGCGTACGGAGACCCTACAGATTCAACCAAATTCCACGTTTATTGCAATCCCAATTGCTTTTGGCTCGACGGACAAAATCTTACGACAACCAAATTAACACTACTTGATCCAAACGATCTGGATTACATTAATGGCGAGAAAAAATTTCTTGCTGGACTGCCAAACGCAAAGATTCAAGGGATTTTAAGAATTCAAATGCCCCAAACCGTTGTTCATGCGCATCTTATGATGAAGCAACAATCTGGATTGAAATCGCTAAAAATGTACCATGGAACACGTGCTTTATGTGATCCAGGTGCGTTATTAACAAATCTTACATCTCAATGTTCTCCAGGAACTACTTGTGGTGTCTGTGGTATTACCCGTGAGGGCAATAATCCGGCTCGGTCTAAACACGGTGGGAACATGTGGTTCGCGGATAATCCTTCAACATCACTTGGCTATTGTGGAGGCACAACTAATTCAAATTTAGCAATCTTTATGATTGATGTCTTGGCTCCAGCTGCAAGCATTGTTATTGTGAATCAAGCTGCGGTTTGTATAGTTGACCTTTTGAATATTCCTGAATTACATTGCTTTTTACTTTGATTTGATTTATGTATAATTTTATTTCTGTATAGGCAACCCTGCCACGATTTTTGGTAATTTTCAAGAGATAATTTTTAGTCATTTCTAGCAACATTCTCTTATTTTGCTTGATAATAAGTATAATTACGTATTCTTAATATTGATTTTGATAAGAAATAAAAACAAATGGTTAAATAAAAAGATCATTATTATTGCAAATTCTTAAATAATTAAGCTTTTAATTCCCATGCATCGGGAATCATCGAGCTTTTTTTTGGTAAAACAAAAATCAACTCAAGATGTTGATTTATATGCGTTCCAGAAGTGAATTACAGAATAATCATAGGGAAAATCCCTTTAAGAACAAAAGTATATGTTATAAATAGTTAACTTATATATCCAACCAATTTTTAAATGGATATTTGACCTATGGTAACTCGTATTTGAGATACGATTTCAGACGCGTTTAACAACCATGCGAAAAATGATATAATTATATAATGCATTACCATTAAAGTGTCCAGACTTATGTGATTTCAGGGATTGTTCATTGTTTAACCAATGAAAAATTTCTGAAATCGCATAAGTCTGGACACTCCAACTGCCATAACTCACTGATTTTAAAGGTTTAATTATCGCGAAATAATACCCAGGGACGTTATTTCGAGTCACTATTTAAAAAAAAACTAAGATTTTAAACAACATAAATTTTGTTCGTGTTCTTTAAATTGTCTCAAAAACGCCCCTTGGCAATGATACGGTAAAATTTTTTTTCTTAAAATGAAAAAGAAATTACATTATCCGAAGGACATATTATAATAAGTACAAAATACTGTACAAATAAAACTTCCATAGGCAACACTCTTAGGACAGGCATACACATGTACTTAGGGTGTTCTCAAGCATTCACTTGATGAATCGAATAGTCGTGAGTTATCATTTCAATTAATAAAATGTGAAGGCGCAAGCTATTTTTTCATAAAATTACTCTGTTTCGCCAAATTCAATTCGCAATTCTCTAGATGAGGTTTCTGCAAATCTGCAAAAAGCATTTCAATTAATCACAACTAGTAAACCTTAACACTAAATCAAGCTAACTATTTATTGACAAAGTGAAATAGGTTATAGTTATTTTTGTTATTCTATGATTAAAGGTTATTAACCGAATAATTTGGTTTTACAATAAAATATATACGATAGATTGATATTTAAATATGGGATTGAAATTTTTTATATGCAAGAGCAAATCTAATTTAGATAGTTATGTTCTTATAATTTCATCTCTTCAAAAAAAATATTAAAAATTTTATCTTTTAAGTAAAATAGGTCAAAAACAATTTCATTTTTAAATTTTAATTTCAGGTTTTAGACCCCAAAATAATTTTGTCAGCATGTATAATATAAATGTTTTTAGCTAATCAGAATGTATTATATACTAATTTTGGTTAGATAAAAAAATTAAAAATTTTTTTAAATTTTTTATATTAAATGTCAAAATTTTGAAAACATAGTAGCTTCAAACACTTGTAACTTTAAATTTTAAACTTTTTTAAAAATTTTTAACCAATAATTTAGATAGAACTAATGAAAACAATAGTTTTTATTAGTCATATTTTTAAAAAATATTTAAAACTTAAGATTTTATAGAATATATAACTTGATAAGAAGTGACTTGAATCACTATAGTTAAAAAAGTTTATATTAATATTTTATCTAATTATTGTTATTTAAGAATAGGCTTTTGGAAGGGTGTAGTAACTTAGTGAAGTTAGTAAGTTGTTACACCTACAAATGACAGGTCAAGAATTTGAATCTCAATGGTAATGAAATTTGAATTTATGGAATGTATTTAGAAGACTGTATTCTATTGGATTAACACCTGTAATAGAGTTATACCAGCTTATACTGAGAAGTAGTAAAACATTAGTATTACATATTAATTATACAAAATCTAAGTGAAGCTGCTAAATAAAACCAGTGAATTGGGATACAGAAGCCCACTTGGCAAAATTCAAATAGAGAATTTTGCATAAATCAACCAACCGGAATTGCGAAATTTTGTTTACACGGATCAGCCTGAAGAAGTCAAAAAATAAAGAAAACGCAAAAAGATGAAAAACGGCAGTCTTAACCTTTCTTGGGGCACTAATTAAAAATGTTGGGAAGGGAATTTTACCTATAAGCCTCTTCTTATATTGACACCAAACTAACCCTAATCCTAACCTTAATTTTAATTAAAACGATTAAAACATCAAAATCACGTGGGTACATGGCTTTAGCCATCCCCCAAATATGGGGGACGTCTAAAGCGAAGTCAAATTCACGTGACCTTATATTTAATAATTTTCTCGACTAACTTTAGGGTGAGGGCCATCCTATATTAGGGTCAAAATAGGTTTTAGGTAGTTAAATATAAGCAAAATTGTCTTTCCGACATTTTTGTCGCTGGCGATCATCAAAATTCTATAATTTGATTGGCTGCGATCATCAAAATTCTATAATTTGATTGGCTGCGATCACGTGAATTTAACTCTGCCCAACAAAATTTCTATAATTTCTATGTAATTTTTGCCGTCACGTGATAATCAATGAAAATAAGCCAATAATAAATCTAGATTTGGTGTAACATCATGTGATCAGAAAAATTAGTTCATTTTGTCAAAAATTGTATAGGAAACCACCTCTTACACATTAATAAAACTAAAATAAAGAATTTTGTCAGCATTACGTAATAGTAAAAAAATTTTGGTGGCAATACTGGGGAAGATTCCGCTTTAGACGACCCCCAAATATGGAGAATACTCTAAAATCGATTTATATATTACCGTATTTCACCATATAAACCACCCGGGTCTCTTATATTTTACCAGTGTTTTTCATATGCGCAAAAATGTGCGCACATGTGCGGATCCAATCAAAATTTTAAATAAAGCAATTTGATTAGATCCACACATGTACACGCATTTTTGCGCACATGAAAAATAAACACTGCATTTCTTCCTCTTATTTAATTAGTAAAAAAAAAAAAATTATTAGTAAAAAATCACGTGGGGGTCTATTATAAAGGGGGTGGTTTATATGGCGAAATACAGTAAAACAGCCAGTAGTTTATAGGACAACATTCATCTGATTGGCTGATCTGCCTGTGATTTCCTGTGATAATCATCCAATCAAATTACATAATTTATAGGAGAATCAAATCGAATGAATTCATAATGTAGATGAAATTTATATTAGCAAAACTTACATATTCTTTATTAATTATCTTTTATTAATTAAGTTCAATTATATATTCAAGTAGAAACCATATTTTAAATATTACTGTCTTTGCTAGAGATGCTACTATCTTCGAAAACAGTATATTACATTATCAATTTGGCAATATCTATTTAATAAATTTCTCTAATTACTTGTATTTGTTAAAAAAAAACTTAATATTTTTATTTTTTATTCTTAATTATCTTTTTATTTATTACAACTGTTGCACCACCTCTTTGTTTTATTTTATTAATTAATATTATATGTTTCTATCTATTGTAATATTAATGAATTTTTAATGAATTTTTATTAACATTTTTCTTATAATTTTCCTTAAATTTTATTATATATTTTATATATTTATTATATATTTTATC